TAGCTTCTTCCTGGCCATTATTAGACTGATGAATGGACTGTCTAACTTCAAATAATGCTGATCCTGCTAACATTGATCTCGCCTAGCATATGCCCTGTGCAATGTAACCTGTTTGCCTCTGTCTAAGTGTTTTTACAACCTTTGATCTGTACATCCTTGCTGACTATGATCTGCCTGTATTGCTCGTAAACAAAGCTTTTCATTGTACTCTGGTACGCATGACAATAAATCAATCAATCAATCAATCAATATCTTTCCAAATCCCTGTGCTCTAATTTTATTAGGTACTTTCATTACTTCTTATCAAAAGTCTTCTGAAAATCCAAACACACAAACAGCGACTGATTCTCCTCTGCCTGTGCCATAAGTAACATTCTCAAAATCCAAAGCATTAACCAAATATGATTTCCACAGATTCTACCAAATTCTGCCATTCTTCTCTAAAAGTTCAGTAATCATATCCTATATAAAGCATTCTAACATTTTCTCTACTGCGATGTCAAGCTAACAGATCTGTTATTCTCCATTTTCCCTCTTTGGAACACAGGATCTAGAATAGACTATTCAGTCCATTGAACCTGTTCTGCTATACATTGAGATCATTGCTGATCTGTGGCCTAACTCCATATCCCTGTCTTTGGCCCATATCCCTTAATACCCTTGCTTAACAAACAATTTATCTATCTCAGATTTAAAATTAACAACTGATCTAACATCCATTGCTGTTTGTGAACAAGAGTTCCAAACATCTACCACTCTTTGTGTGCAGAAGTTCTTCCTAATATCTCTCCTGAAAGGTCTGACCCTAGGTTTTCGACTATGCCCCCTATTTCTGGAATCTCCAATCAGTAGAAATAGTTTATCTTTATCGACCCTGCCTTTTTGTGTTAATAGTTTGAAGACTTTGATCAGATCACCCTTAACCTTCTAAATTCTAGAGAAAACAGGCCTAATTTGTATAATCTCGCCTCACAACTTAACCCCTTAAGTCCAGGTATCATTCTTGTAAACCGATGTTGTAGTCTCTCCAAGGCCAATATATTCTTCCTCCCTTCTTAAAGAATGAGGTTATATTTGCTACCTTCATGTTTCATTTTTCCACTATTTACCTGTTCTCAGTAATAAATTCTTGTCCCTACCTTTAGTGGGCTCACCATTCTCTTTGCTAATCTTTTTCTTTTCAGGTATCAAAAGCTTTTAAGTCAGTCTTTATGATCCTAGCTAGTTTACATTCATATCCTCCTTTCTGTTTCCTTATCTGCTTCTTGGTCTCCTTTTAGTGTGTCCTAAATTGATCCCAAACCTCAGGCTTACAACTATATTTAGCATTCTTATAAGCCACTTTTTTTGCTTCCTTTCCTACCTCCTTTTCCTGTTTTGTCTATCTTCCTAAATGTAGCATATCCTTATATGGTAATTGCTTTGCTAACTCCAATGTTGTGGTCGGTGAAATTTGGAATAAGCACCCACCTCAAAGTATTTAAAACACTGTTTCAGGAAAACAATCTCAAATGTGCATATCCAGTTCTGTACATAATATTCCAGTTGTTATTTTAGAGTGCAACTGAATGGGTTTGGTGTAGAGAGGGAAGTTTGAAAGTAATCTCATAGAGATCATGCATCTAGAGCGATCCTCCAGCACCCTTAAAGGATCTGTGAACTTCTCTTGACCTTGGCTTTCCCTCTCAGCCTCATTGACTCAGGCTTCCTTGGACATGCCTGCAGCTGATTGTGGTCATAGAGTTTACAGCACAGATTCAGCTCATTGAATCTGTGGCAGCCTATAACAACCACCTAATATTCAAATCCCATTTTCTAGCACTTGGCATACAGCCTTGTATGCATTGGTATCACAAGTGCACATCTAAATACTTCTTAAATGTTATGTGGTTTCTGCCTCTTCCACCCTTACAGACAGCGAGTTGCAGGTTCCTACCACCCTCTGGTGTCCCAGGCCACTTACTATCCTGTGGACCAAAGCCAGTGACCTGCCTCGGAATATCCAGTTAGTATCTACAGCTGTGCCTCCAAAGAAGCTCAGGATTCAAATTTGTGGGAGCCTTTTAACCAGGTAGGCACAGGAGTCTATCATGTTGCAAATTCCTTTTTGAAAAATAGTGAGGCTGATGGTTCCTCAGGAGTGTGCACCCAGAAACATAGCCCTGGCCACCATGGAAGCCTCAGCTGCGCAGGGGAGGCAGAAGCAGATTGGAAAAGCAATAGTGATAGGGGATTCCTTCGTCAGGGATAAGACAGGTATTGTTGCCTCCCTGCTACCATGTCATTGAAGAGCTGCAGGACATCCTTCTGAGAGAGGGAATGAGCCAGAAGGCATGGTCCACATTGGTAACAATGGCATAGGTAGAAAAAGGGATGAGGTCCTGAAAGCAGAATTCAGGGAGTTAGGAAGGAAATAAAAAGTAGGATCTTGAGAATTGTTCTCTTAAGATCGCTGCCAGTGCCACGTACATGTGAGTATGAGACCAGGAGGATAGATCTTTTGGATGCATGTGTGGAAAAGTGGTGTAGGAGGGACAGAATTCTAAAGAATTGGGATCAGTTCTGGGGTAGGTGGCATCTGTACAAGCTGGTGGGACTCCTTGATGAGTTGAATGGTCTATTTCTGTTCCTGCCTGCAAACACAGAGTACAAACCAATACATTCCATGAATTGATACCCTTAGAAGTAAAATTTGAGACATGATTACTTGTTCATCTCATTTTGAAACACAGAATGTCAAACCGTAGAAAGGACTGGGCAAGAAGTTGCATTGGAATGTTTCAGCAAAGATCTCCTTCACACAAGCAAATTCTAAATACCTGATAGCTAGACCAAGGAAGGTTTGAGGAAGGTATTGTGTTGGAAATAATATCTTGTCTCACCAGCTGGTTTCTGAATGCATTAAGAAAAGAGGCCAGTGATTGTTGTTGAAAGGAAACTTTATCTCTGCAATTCAGAATGAGCCATGTATAGTAATCCCATCTGAACATGCAAAATTATTATTCAAATACTTATCGATGTGGTGAAGCAGTTTATTGAAACTCATCATGTTTTATTCAGCATGAGATTTGCCTCCCCTGTCCACTGGCAGCCATCCAGTTACAGCCCATCTTTCTATTGTGCGGGATCAGTTAGCTCAGTTGGCTGAACAGCTGGTTTGTTTGGCAGAATAATGCAGGGTTCAATTCTCGCGCTGTAGAAGGTTGTTGAGAAAGACTCCCCTCACCTGAGCAGTGCTGACCCTCAGGTTAAATCATCACCAGTCTTCCATCTCTCATGAGAGAGCAGCCCTGTGGACTGGTAAGACTATGGCAACTTTTATTTATTCTTCCATGGTAATGGTGGGTAATAAATAAGCTTGGAATAGAAATGCGGAGTATTTGAATTTTCATTTAAAAGCACGTGCTAGATCACTCAAAAGTTACAGCAGGGTCAAGGGGCTGATTTGTCTACTCCTGCTCCTCATTCACATGTTCTTATGTAAGTGACTGGAGCAGGTCATGGATCCTGGGCTGATATCTTCCCCTCCCTCATGGAGGAATTCCCAGACCAATTCCACAGTCTTAGGGCCTTTAATCTAGTATGGACCAAGGATTGTTGTAGGACCCTGCTCTGATTCAGTTCCACTTTGAGGAGTATGTCTAATCAGTTGACAGATATAAAGGCATTCTACACATTTTTGCATATTGTGGTACTATCCAATCTTTCAAACTGAAATCTGCAGCTTTTACGTGGAAATATATGAATGTTAAGTCCCTTGCACATTGCTCCTCAGATGACTGAAGAAGGCTCTGATGAAGTGTCATCTCGACTTGAAATGTTAGCTTACTCTCTTTCCATGGATGCTGCCTGACCAGCTGTGATTTCCAGCACTTTTTGTTTTCAGTACTGAAGAAGGCTCCTTGCCTGTAATTTCAGGGAGTGAAGATTATGATTCAGACTGTTCCCTGCCCTTAACACAACTCTCCCACCCTCCTGTCCTCCCAGCAATCCCCAACTGCTGTAAGGATTAAGAACTCAGTAGTGGCCATTGTCAGTAGTGGACATTGCTGAAACAGTAGACAGACATTGCAAAGATGATGTAATGGATCCTAGAGTCAGGCAAGCCCAGGATATCAGGATGGGGAGAGTTTAGAAAGCTCAGGAAGTGATAGTGCAGATAGCAAGATAGTGCAGCCCTTTAGAAGCATGTTTTAAAATATGATCTGCCCATTTCAGCTGCATTTTGACACAGGCAGAGTGCTATCGGGATTAATTGAGCTTGATCCTTCATTATTTATTTACATACGGTATTATGGTGCTTAGCAGGAAGGTCATGAACTAGCTAACCTGCCTGTATTACATACAGGGACAAAAAAAAACTACAGGTACTGAAGTCCAGTTAGACAAACAGGAGGCTGGAAGAACACAACAAGACAGGCAGCATTTGGAGGAAAGGAGCAGTCAGGACTAAAGAAGGGTAATACCCAAAATGTTGACTGCTCCTTTCTTCCAAATGCTGCCTGTCTTGTTGTGTTCTTCTAGCCTCCTGTTTGTCTACCTGTATTACATACCACTGTCTGAAAACATATCCAGTAGGGGCATGCAGTATCCAGCTCCATAAAGGAATAGATTTGCCTGTCAGATGCACAGAGATTTTTATTGTTTTGTATATTGCTAAGGATTTAGTCTGCTAAATTGTAAATCTGTTAGTCAATTAGCACCAGCATTAGCAGAATCTCCTTTCTACGATGTCGCAATTTAAAGAAAAAAGGTTGTCCACTAATGTAAATAATAATACAGGCTTACTAGAACCAGTGGGGCATTTCAAATATAGCAAGAGGTTTGCCTTCATTGTATTCCTGAGTAATGTGGATTATGCATCCAGAGCTAAGGAATTGCACCTTACATTGAAAGTAAATTTAAGCTTTGAAAGAAGGACTGTACTTGTACAATAAGAAGGGAGTGAACATTCCTGTTTGATCACAATCTATTGCTTCTATCCTCCTGAATTTACTCACCTTTTTTCTCGCCTGCTGTTCTTTTGTGGAATGTGCCTTCACGTGCTTTCGGAGAGAGCTTGGGTCAGTGTACCGTTTAGTGCAACCTGGGATCTGACATGCATAAGGTTTCTAAAACAGAGGGAGGAAAAAGGCAGCAGCTTTAGTACAGTGCAAGTTTGCTTAATACGAAATTTCAAATCAAAAACTGGTCAGGAGCATTCTGCTGAACATTCCACCAATCTGATCTCAGACTAATCACCGTCACCTGGAGTCAGGCACGCAGGAACTCAAATATAAGTCAAAGATCACAGGGAAACACCCATTTTCCAAATGCAAGTTATGAAACCTCATAGAGTTCTTAACCATTGAACAAAATGACGCGCATTCCCTACCAGAAAAATGTACTGTCAAGATTTGAGTAAATTCTGTTCTCTTGTACCTTTTGCCATCTTTGTGAATTTAATTTATTTTTCAGTGAAAACTTGCAGCCGACTTCTGTAATCATTGTAATTATATACTTACAATTATTTCAGTCTCTGAGACTCTGCGGCATAGTCAGAAACGATTAGCAAGAGAAAGTATTTAGGGTTTCAGCTCAAGAAACAGCAGAAAGGTCCATGTAATAGTATCTGATCACTATGAGAGAAAATAAAATCTGCTAGGAAAGACAGAAAACAAAGGTAGAAATAAGAAATTAGTCCTGACACACACTGAGGTTTTAGAAGGTTTGTCAACTTTTTCCAAGCAATTTAATTGAGCTCATTAGCGAGTACACTGGTCATCTGACATAGCAACAACTTAAATGGAGCCAACTCTCTTGGGGAAGGACTACCGTTCAGTTTTTACTCAAACAGCAGAGACTAACTTTACGAAATAGTATAATTACTGTTATTTAATTTATGGGGGAAGGTAGCTGGTCATAGAATCTCAACACAGAAGGAGGCGATTTGACCTACCTGCTTGTGCTGGCTCCTTGCAAGAACTATATCATTTATCTCACTTCAGTATCATCACAAATTCTTCATTTCTGAGTATATTGTCAATTCCCTATTGAAGATCACAACTGAATCTATTTTTCTACTTCAGGCAGGACCTTCCACAATAAGACAATGTCTGTATTTAAAATGAAAATCTGTGGCTTCCCTCGCACTCTTCCCTGTATCTTCCACTCTTACTGGGTTCTTTTGCCATTGGCCTTAATCTGTAATCTGTACAGGGGAAGTGATGGCCTAGTGATACTATCGCTGGATTGTTAATCCAGGGAACTAGGTAATATCCTGGGGACTTGGCTTCAAATTCCACTGTGACAGATGGTGGAATTTGAATTCAATAAATATCTGAAGTTAAGAGTCTCATGATGAAATCATCGCTGATTGTCAGGAAAAACCCCTCTCATTCATTAATGTCCTTTAGGGAAGGAAACTGCCAATTTACCTGGTCTGGTCTAATTGTGACTTCAGACCCACAGCAATGTGGTTGACTCTTAACTGCTCTCTGGGCAATTAGGAATGAGTAATAAATGCTGGCCTAACCAGTGACACCCTCACCCTATCAATGAATAAAGAAAAAAATCCTTTAGCTACCAAACCCACTGTCTCCAGAAATAATCTCTTCTCATTGACCCATTGACCTTTATAACTCTAAACACTTCTACTAAATCTACCCTTAAGTTGTGTCATTTTAAGAAGAACAATATCAGATTCTCAAATCTCTGCAAAACTGAAATTCTTCATGCTAGATTCATTCTGCTAAATCTTCTCTGTGCTCTCTCTGATGCTTTGGCATATTTCCTAAATTGTGAGGTTCAGAATATGTCCAAATGCCAGCAATTTTAAATAATTAGAGAAATGTTATTCTGCGGAGAGAGACAAAAAAAAAACTGTGCTTTGCTTGTTAGAACAATGTGACTTGGGGAGAATAACGTAACAGAGCTGTTTAAAACTACGAAAGTGCGGGTCAGAAACAATAATTGCACAATCATCTCCAGTAGTTAGGAGATCTGCATCCAAGGGTCATTGATGCAAGATTAAGTGAGAGATTTAGAATAGAGGGCAAAGGAGACAAAGAGAGTTGTGAGATTGTGGAATTCACTTCCTCGCTTAATGGTTGAGACAGAAACCTATATTATTATTCAAGATTGGATTAGAGAGGGTGAGGCAAGAGGGAACAGGATAGTTAAGTGTAATTAGAGCTAGGTGATCATACGGAGGGTAATTCTGAAGTAAACTGGTTGAGTTGAATAGCCAAATTCAGTTTTGTAATCTCTGCTTCTCTATCATTAATTCTGCTTCAATCCAGTAGCAACAGAACCCCTTTATTCCTTTATTACACTTTGGAGCTTCCGCATGTTGCTCACATATTTAGTCTGTCATTGACGCCAAAGGAAAATATCCCTATACTCTACACTGATCTGTACTGAACTTTACAACAGTAAGTGAGGTGTGGAAACCATACAATGCTCAGCCAGATGGGCTAAAACTACTTTTCAGGTTCTTGCACCCATTATGATTATTGGAAGCAAAATAACTGAACATTAATGTTTGAGGTGAGAACTTGTGCTGCAACTTGAGCAGCCAAATCTCATTAGTTGATGTTAGGAAATAAGGGAAGTTCATAAATTTCATATTGAGTAAAGAATTGGACTTGGACAATCCCGGTCTATCTTCACTTTTCTGCATCTTGGAACAGTTCAACCTCAAAGGCAGCTCCAATCGTCTAGCATGTGCTCTGTTACACTTTAGATTATTGTTTAGAGATTACTGTTACTCACATAAGTGAATACAAGTCTGGGACTCCTCATAAAACTATGTTAACACAGGCACTTCCACTCCATTCAAGTGAGTGCTCATTGCTTGCTGATACTTCATCTTGAGCCAGTTTCTTGGCATGTTTAGCCATTGGTGGTTTGCCACTACCTTGTACCCTCAGGAGCAGGAAGAAGATGCCATTTCTATACTTATCTCAGCCAGAAAAGGAAACCATTGGCACTATTCTGAAACACACTCTCATCATCTAACTAACTATGTTAACCAGTCTCCTAAAACCCGCAGGAACACACATTTTAAAATACCCATGTGAGTCTGTTATATTCTTAACTAAGTTCTTGGAATCATATCCCTTTTCAAGCAAGGGCTGAATGGAGTGAGGGATAAAATTCTATAAATGTATGCATCTCACATAAAAAGCCAATATTTAAACAAGTTTAGATATTTTAATTGAGAACATTTGAACTCACATAATGACAGATGAAAATAATTAACTGTTACCAATTATTTGTAGTAGCAAATAGTTAAATAGTCAATGTACTATGAGTTTCACAGTCTTAAAATTACATCCCAAGCAATGTCTAATACAATATTAAATAACAAGAAAGTCTTTTTTCACATGATATAGAATATTTTATTTCTTAGTTAATAAGTGAGAAGAACCAATATAAATGCAACATCTTTGCAAAATATTTCACGTGTCAGAATTGCAGTATTTTAAATACCAAATTATGATTATGAGATTAAAATTTAAATTGAGGCAAGACTGAAAATATGATGAAAAGGTTACTGGATTCCAACATATTTATTTATGATAAAGCTTGAAAGTTTTTATTTTTTAGCAATAGAGTGCTGATTTCTGAATTAAAGACTCTTACTGTATCTAGATGTGTTCTCTGGTGCTTGGCGCGGTCACTTGAGTTGCTAAAAGCTTTTTGACATCCTGGATGCTGACAAAGGTAAGGTTTCTCCCCTGTGTGACTTCGTAGGTGAATCTTGAGGTTTTCCAGTCTTGAAAAAGCTTTATTGCAGCCTTCAAACTACAGGAAAGGATTTGAGAAACTATTGTTAGAAATCAGGAAATGCCTATGTTCTGCAAACTACAAACTTCCACTTCTGGTGATAGGTCACATCCAATCCATTAACTCCCTATCTTTTGTTTTCAGACAATGAATTCCTTATTGTGCATTTCCAACATGTGGTATTTTCTTTTCAATAACCAATACTTGTAGAATTTGTCTGAACTTCTTCAAGGCTCCAAGTTCCACAATAATTGTATTTATTTCAATTTGTATTTTTAAGGTGAATGTCTGAGTTGCATTGTTAAAACCAGCAAAACTTTGACAATGTTTCTGAATATATTGGTAACAAAGTGTTAAATTCTGTTTTATATTAAATCTTCTGCTTAGTTTTAATAATTGCACCTTGTAAATAAGAAACATCTATAGAAACTTAGTTTTGAAAAGTGATTTCTCATGCTGTATACCACAAAGATAATCAATCGTATTCAAAGGGTACAGATAATAAATGACTAGATTTTGTTGGGAAAATAATTGTGTATTCACGGGTAGATCATTATGATAATGATGACTAATGTGAAAATTGTCCATCAAGGTTAAGGGATTAGGAGGTACATTTCTATGAACTTGTTAGATTTGAACATTGGTTGCTCATTACAACAAGTTAACTTATTTGATTAATAGCAAAGGTAACCTTTTAACAACCTCTAAATGTTAATGAAATGCTAATTAATGAATAATTGAATTTGTGGATTCTTTCATGTAGTTAATTCTTCTGAGAGATGTTATAAAAGTCAAATTTGAAATCTAATTCTTTACTTTTCCTTTTTTCTTCTCTTAATCCAATCTTTCCTTCCTTCTCCTTATTTGTCTTTCTGAACTTGATCCGACTGTATTCCAAACTGTTTCTGTCAGTATTCTTTATCTGTTTATTTTCTCACTTCTTCATAACATTAAATAAAGATGTAGACTGATGTTCTTATTGTACACCAGAATCCACGATGATTTGTGTGCCTTGCAGGACCATTATCACTAGTTGTAAACTGCTGCACAAAAAAATTTTTTTTTAACAACAGTGGCATTTTGTTGCACTTTTGTCACAATAAACCATCCCAAGGCAAAAGCTGAATGTTAAGATGAAATGCCTCACTGACAGGGTGTGTTATGAAGTCTTCCTACAAATCGGACACCATCATAGCAATTTTAAATTAAAACATTATTATTTTGATGAGAAAATGCCAAATGATTTAAGATGTAGACAATGGGGGAGGCATTCATATAATGGACTTAATGGGCTGGATCCTTGAGTCTAAAGGACCCACTTAGAAATAGTGGACTTTCACATTGCAGTGCCGAAGGATTAGGGTGCAGTTTATCCAATCTGACAGGCTCCATTATGGGGATAGATATCACACAATTTTCATGGAGTCAGGCCAGATTGTCCATGACTTGTAGTTCACAGATCTCAGGAATGATGAACCATGGTCTGGATTCAGAAACTTTATGCCCCCATCCACCTCCATCGGCCCTTTCAACACTCCACGTCAACTCATGGACGCCTCATCCTTTTGTCTTCGATGGGCTTCTCTATTCTCCAGGACAACTAGTATTTTTATTCATCCAGTATACACTATGTACTGAACTAACGAATCCTGTAATAGCAACAGCATGTGTGAAATGTCCTGGAAGGAAACACCCATTTATTTGCATTTGGAAAATAAAACTGGTGTTTATCCAACACTATAAATGTCGTCGAATAGATGAATTAAACAGTACTAACAGAAGCTTTAAGTAGTTAACACCTCTTAAGCTGGGCTATCAACCATGCTTGATGGGGTGTGAGTTGACATAGAGTTGGCACAAAGCTGTGTGCCTTATAAGAGGGCCACTGGTTGGAGTCATACCTAACACAAAGGAAGCTGATTGGGTTTGTGGGATGCTGATAGTTTCAGCCCCAGGATTTCACGGTGGGAGTTACTCAGGGCAATGTTCTTGGCTGATGCATCATTAACCTTCCCTCTATCATAAGGTCTGAAATGGAGTGTGGCTACACATGATTGTTTTATTCAGTCACATTCATGATGCAATAAACCCAGTTTTGCGCAAGAGCTGCACAACAGCTTGTTTTAATCAGAGGCCTGTAATATTCACATCACACAAAGCGACAAGTAATGACTATTTCCAATGAAGGAGAATCCAACCACTTCTTTTTGACATTCAATGGCATTAGTGTTACCAAATGCTCCAGCATCAGCTTCCAGGGAGTCACAACTGACCAGAATATTAACTGGAGAAGCCCCATAAATACTGTGGTCACAAAAGGAAGTTTGAAGCTGGCTATTTTGCAGTGAGAAACTCGCTCCATGAGTCCCCAAATCCTTTTCTTTGTCTACAAGAACAAGTCAAGAGTATTGATGAAAATCAACAGGCCTGGACTGGATACAGGTCTAGTGATGGCTTCTTCCCCATACAATGGGAACAAGGCTGCATTTTCTATATTTTAAATTCAAAATAGGTTTTGGACCACCCTCTCCCTTCTTCCCTATAATTTTAGCCTGCAGCTCTTTTTGAGCTGGAAGATCTCTGATTGGCTCTCCAGCATCAAGGACCAATGAACCCCTTCTTATATGGTAACACATGAACAGGAGTAGGCCATTCAGCCCCTTGAGCCTGTTCCACCATTTAATGTGATCATGGCTGATCTGTGGCCTAACTCCATATACCTGCCGTTGGCCTACATCCCTTAATTGTATTTACTTAGCAAGAAATTTACCCACCTCAGATTGTGAAACTACTTCTTGCAATCAATTGGATGCTCTGAGGAAATCACATTGTGTGACTGTTCTGCATATGGGGCTTCTGACACCAATTGGATCTTGATGACAGGGTCCAGAGACCCAACAGGAAAATCTTTTCCTGAACTTACTGAGGAGTTAATAAGTGTGATCTTCAGAAATGTCAGACCAGGGAGCTGTGCCCTTAGTGTTATCCATTGTTCAGCAAAGCTGAGTTGTAAGGCCCTAGCTGCCTTTGGGCAGTTATTATCATATTCATATCCATTCCATGTCACAACCCAATTTCTTCCCCAGTAGTATCGCAGAGCGAGGTGAGGAGATGCAACAATCCTAACAAATTATCTTACAGAATGGTGGAGCATGAGTTTGTATTTAAATCCTTCATGTATTAAATTCCTGATCTCTATCATGCAAACAGAAGCAAACAGAAGGAAATTATTTCTTCACAGCATAACACTCACAAAGGGGAAATTTCTTGGGTTAAGACCGTAAGAAATAGGAACAGGAGTAGCTATTCTGCCATTCAATAGAATCATGGCTAGTCCAATGATAAACAAATGTGATTGGCTGTTTTGACTATTTGGTCCTTCAACTGTAAGTATTGCCTGGAAATAAGGGGAAAGGAAGAAAACAAATCTTCATTCATGCAATATAATCTTGGTGTAATATGATTACTGCACGATGGATAAATAGAGTGTAAATCTTTAGCAGACATATTTAAAGAGGGACATTTTATGATCTTGTTACTTTATGAGCAAGGAATGGCAAAGTTGAAAGAAAAAATTTCCAATTCACTTGTGATATCAGTATGTCCCAAACATATTTCATGGCCAGTGAAGTGCTTCTGAAGGAAGTCACTAATATAACAATGGGAAACACAGCAATCAAACAAATGTATCAAGTCGACCTTCTCCAGAGCTGTACAAGATTCACACTGGATTTGAAATGCTAATATCACTCCCCTCTTCACAAATACTGCCAAACATGCAGAGTTTTTCCAGCATGCTATTTCTAATTTCAGATTTTCCAGCATTAGCAGTATTTTGCTTTCATTAGACTAACAACATGGGTCACAGCATGATTCATCTAATGTTAAGGTAACAATGAGGAGATAATGGATATCAGTGATGTTGGTTGAGAGGTGAATGTTGCTCAGACTATTGGGATAACTCTTCTCCTTTTCCATACAATGTAATAAAAAGTTGTGTGCCCACTGGAGAGGCTGCATATGCTTTGGTTTAACATCTTAGCTGGAAGACAGCAAATCAAATTGTTCAATGCTTCCTCAGTATTATACAGGAGTGACTACCTAGACAGTGTGGTAAAGCCTCTCAAATGGGTTTGAAACCTGCTGTATAACTGCTGTAATTGTAAACTAAAACCATTGCAAAAAATTCAACCTCAACGACTTTCAAGTTCTATTTCCTGATTAAACACTTCTGACCTATAAGTTATGACCTTTTTGGGGTAATCAATTTTCAATCTTCATTGACAATCCATTGCATTAGGTTAAAAAAAGGTGGTTACCAATGTGGAGTGAGATTTATTTCACATGTACAATCAATAATCACATGTGATCCCAATTCAATATGATATTTTGCTACCTTTGCTTTATGTGCATACACTGTCTAAAGGCAAGCAGCATTGATATTCTTCAGATCAGGTTTCAGCACTGTCTCTGATGTCCGTGAAACTGAAAACATGAAGGATTATGTGTCAAGTAGACCTATTCTATACCATTTGACTTCAATTAGAAGCAGAGAGTACAAAGTCAGCCAATTCTATCAGTCAAAGTCCCACACAGGCCTGTTATTCGATAGAGGTCAATGGGAGATACTGTCTATATACATTGACAGGCAACTTTATACCCAAGACCGTATTAAACTGTCTGACAACTTAATTACATACATGAACAAACTTGGAAAAATGAAGAGTTTTACAATCCTACATTAGGCTAACACTTGCAAAGCTATGGAAGTAAGTCAGAGCTTCAAAGCAAACCTCAGTTTCAGATTTTCCCTCCACCAGCCTTGAAGGTTGTAAGTTAGTTCGTAATTTATTATTCTTTTCATCACTATGGTTAAAGGCCTGCCACAATTTAATCATTCAGTCAACAACACATTTGTAATGGTATTACCAAGCTGTCTGTGGTGGACACAAGTTCAAAGGAGAAATCTGTCATTTATATGTCTAGGCTCGACATCAGTTATCCTGGTGAATATAAGA